TGCTCTCCTGTTAGAGTAACAGAAGCCGCAAGCGTCAATCGCACGTGCAATAAAACTTGTCAGCCCGACGTAATAATTAGATTCAGCAACATGAGGAACTGAAAACGATGTACCGAGCAATTCCTGCGTACTCCGTGTCCTTCTCTTTCACAATGAGAGCTTAATCACACACATACACACACACAGACACGTGAGTACATCGACGGAAGAAATATTTGTATTCAGCTCAAAAACTGATAGGCTTGTTATCCTAAGGCTAACCGATGAACATCTTATGCAAACCTAAAGAGTTAATGCACGCATGCACTACTGAGCCTTCTGAAAATGATGAAATATTTCACCGACCTTGCAAAGCCCAAGAATTTATTTCCTTCTTCACGTGTACACCATTTCATTTTAGCTGATCCATTCAGATTCCAGTTAGGTTAATTCATGAATCGTGATGGCTTGTGTTTGTGTTTTTGGTCAGGCCAGCAAAGTAGAGTTGTAGGTCCTCTTGGTGGTGTAGACCCAAACTAAAACAGAATACAGAATCGTAGGCATTGCCAAAACAATGTCAAATGCCTCTAGTGAAAATTTGATAAATCAGTGTGAAGCTACTGTTGAAACATGACCCTAGAATATTTCTAAACAAGAGAAACGAAACTCGTTTGAATAATAGAAATTATTGTATTGACTTTCATGAAAATGGAACACTTGATTTGTCACACTATTTAGGTTTGAATTTTATGTTATTGTGAGGGAAACCGAATTGTTGGTTAGCGGAAAAATCAGTGGAGCCAACAAATGCCCTCAGATCATCGAGATTCTCGGAGGTTCAAGCTGGTTTTCAGACAGTGTGCGATGAGTCCAGGGATAAGTCAAGTCTTTTGAAATTACCTGCTATCATGCACGAGTACTGATCAAGACTCGTAGTGAGATGGCTGGAAAGACTGTCAATTAACTGACTGATATCACCAGCGGAAGTATCTCGTGAAACACAAGAATTAGCGAGGATAATAGGGCGGAAGAAATCTGGACAAGGCGGCTTACAACGTACTGCATTGTACTCGACTTTCATCGTATCAAACTGAAGTGAGAGGCGAGAAGATTTGCACCACCTGTGACGGATAAATGTGATTGCCCCACCTCCTCTGTTTCTTGGATCCTCAGGCGGATCGTCCCATCAACAGGGATGACGACAGCATCAATTTCTTTGAATAACCAACTTTCCTAGACAAGTACTTCACCGATATTTTTTGATTCGTTTTGCAAAGTGACGTTCAATACTTTATCAAATTCCCTCAAAAAAGATTGGAATTTTGAAGATAATATTGACGGTATCGATATTTTGGAAACAGCTTGATGTCTTGGAGCGGCTCAACAACGACAAAATTGTTTTATCGCATGTCCACCTACTTTCCGAAAGAAACGTTTTATCCGATTTCTGACTGCATGCAAAAATGCTTGAAACTCGTTGCCAAGCGCGAGGACCGGTAGGGAATTCAAAAAGGCCGCTGTAAGATCGCATCTGACCCTGAAAATTAGTTCAACTCCGGGAACAGGAAAAAAAATTCCTTGGTAAACCACGAACAATGGAGCAGCATTAGTTCTTGCTTTCATGTTATGACAGAAAAGCCTGTGAATTGTAAATGGTGATGAGTTTATTGAGCCTTTCCGTTGCCTAAAATGAGCGCTATTCGACCCCGTAATTTTCATGCATGAAAAATAAACTGTTTTTTCACTCTCTGTCAAAGTGAGAAAAACAATAAAAAAGACTAATGGGATCAAATTTTTCGAGGCATATGTTTATGTTCGTACTTGGTTTGTGTTGGATCCGGTCTGAACAATCACGCCCACTCCGAGGTTAATTCATCAGTATCCTAGTTGATGTTTGATCATGCTTCAATCCTTGTACTGTTTGTCAACTGGTCGATCTCGTTGTATATCAATTGACCTCTGTTGACCCGAGGAGAATGTACGCCAGAGCATGCTTGCAACTTATTTCGGTGACATCAATTGGGCACTTCTTGGCTTGCTTGCTACTTGTTACCCGGCCATGACCGGGTTTTGAGCTTACGTTCGTACAAATGAACGTGGTGCTGTAATTACGTGTCCGTGAAATGACAAACGAATTTTCTTTCTCTACACAAGGTGGTCGATTATATCAGATGCGCGATGGTCGCAACTGTGATGGTTTCCGTAGCCCCAATGCCCAACCGGGCCTGCTTGTGTTCCTCGATCGTATGAGAAACCGCCTTTTCTTCCAACTTATGTATCTTGCCAAACATGAATAAACAAAGGAGTATGTTCCACTGATGAGGTTAGGACAGGTACTCTATCTATGCGATTTATCAAAAGCATTGGTTGGCTAATAAAGTGAGTGCGCAAACAGGCCGCGTGTGACGCGCAAGCGATGACCTCTTCCAGACGCCTCGTCAGAGGTTCACAAGCTGAGTCCCCCCCTCCGTTAGAGGCAACTGTGTTTATCGTCCTTTCAGTTTCACGGTGAATACTTGAGGTCTTTAGGAATTCTCTGGCATGTTCTGAACAAACCGTCCTGAATAACCATATTCTATAAGCACCGGTATTACTTTGAATACGCACTCATCCATTTGCTAATGCCCGACAAGCTATACAGGCCGAAAGACGAGGTGCTTTTCTCAGTGAATCAGGGAACATTAGCCGACCTAGTTGGGCACTGGGACCACGAAAAACAAGAGTGTCTGGCCATGGTTTATCTGAGGTGGAAAAGCAGCGAATCTGTCACGTCAAATTACTTGACAGGAACTTAGAAGGCTGTCTAAAGTTTGTGTGATCGTTGTTTTATAAAACTTGTGTCTAAATTAGTGCAACTTAAATGTGCGCATTTTGTTCTAAAAGTAAACCAGAGCGGGCGGAATTAGTGCAGCCATCTCCAAACCAATTGCAGTGTTCGAGTGTAAAATTTATTCCGCGATTGCGCAGCTGGCGAAGTTACTGTTCGAGTTCAAGACGTAGAGTAACGTTCAATAAAGCAGTTGCATTTATTTATTTTCATTATTTTTATTGTGCCGCTAGTACCGATAATAAAGCACGTCTCTGGTCGTCTGCCTACCATAACTCGTAACAGTTGGACCCCGTTCTTTCACTGCTCCTATTCCGTTTCGTTCTTGCCCCAGGACCATTTGGTGATTACCGATTCATCGAGAACATCAAACCGGTGATCTGATTCGTTTAGCCATTTGCCTGTCTTATTCTAATATTACCACTAGAGATTGCATTTTTTGATGATTGCTTTTGTGATTCTTTCGTTAAAATCAAATCCGCCTCCCCCGTCCTCGTTTCCAAGCAAGGAAACCCCTCTACAAAAATGCTTTAAAAAATATTATTTTCACAGCTTTTTTAAAGATCTGCCTGAAAGCGTTCTTTTTTTGAACTACATCTTTTATTGGACAACAAACAAATAAACCATTATTTTTAATTTCATCTTCATTCTTGTCTTACAGTACGTCCACATCATTTTTATTCATTATCATTCAAAAAGCATCGGGATCTTAAATTCGCAATTGTTTTTCACGTCACGGAATTCGATGTGGCTTTTCTTCTGCATCCGCCAGACGAATGCCCGACGTGCTGATACATAATCGATATTTCGCTGTGTCGGCCACGTTTTATTGCATTTATATTTTCGCGGGCGATCATATCAGTCCATATAGAAACGTTGAGTTACATGACAGTCCAATCAATCAAAACATTTTCATGTCTCAGAAAGATTCTGGAGTTACCTCTCAATGGCACGTGTTGAGCTCTACCATATTCATCTTCCACACATTCAGGTACGGATGCGGCACATTACCATGGGGGCAGGCACCACCTGCAGCCGGATTCGAACGACCACAAATTGATGACGGTTTGATCGAAGTGATTGGCCTCTCTTCGACTACTCTGGTTAGTCTCATTTTGGTAACCATTGTCGTCAGTCCGGCAAAAAATTCATAAAAAAATAACTCTGTAATCGGTTGGTTTTCACATCAATTTTTATACAAGTTATATGGTTCCTGCCTATCGACGAATGAAAATTTATAACCGGGATGGTGGGACCGTTTCGTATTCGGTACGGAACAAAAAAATCCTGGAATGATCCTGGTGCTGCGTCTTTTGCCTCTTATCTGGTAGAACATTTTCTCTTTTCTATTGTTTAATTTATTAAGAGTGGCAATGATTGATTGTATTATCAGAAAAAAATGGCACCTAGGATTTGGAAATATGAAAAAGAAAGCCATAAAAGTGCCCTCAGTGGTTCAGATTTGGTAGCTAGCACAGATAATGAAGTTGTGCACAACCAAATATGATCTTTTATCCCAGGCTCTGCATTCTTTGAATTCAGTCTCCCGACCGATATCATCCGATGATTTTAATACCAACGGCTGTTATTCTACGTCTGTGTGTCACACACATCGCATTGTAACACTCGATGGTCCTATCAGTGTCTAAAATTTATAAGTTACCAAAGTTTGTAGCATATATTTACTTTATGACCTTCAGACACCTAGTTTCTCTTCTGACCTGCGTCCGACGACTATTAGTTTTGGCTCACCTGAAGAAATGTTCCGACGCTAAATTTCGGAACTTTTTTTATCTCAAGCCACAACCTCTATCCATTGCAGTTAATAGGATTGTAAAATTTCCATCTTCGTGGACAGTTGGTTCAATAAATCTACTAAACTTATCAACCTTCGTGATGATGAGCCTAAACACAATTTTTCTGGGGCCAAATATGCTAGAAATATCTCGTCTGAATTATGAGTATAAAATAGGCCAGAAAATATATCATAGTGTTTTTCAAGGCCACGTTACCCTTTCATTTACAGCTTCCATGAAGGGTACAATTTGAAGCGACGCTAAAAATGTGCTTACAAAATAAACTATATTATCATTTGTATCCCAATATCTGTAAATCTCGTTGAACCATCTTTCCTAAAACTGCATCCACTGCCCAAACAACAACGACAACATGTACCGGCTTTTATGCACAGGCCATGATTCAGGTCGGTGGTCATGGGGATCACATTTGTCAGTGTCGTACAGTGACTTTGACCACAGACAAAGTCATCCCCATGCAAATGGACGGCGAACCTTGTCGTTTGATGCCGGCCACAATACAGATTCGCTGTTCTCATCAAGCACTAGTAGTCCAAAAACAAGGACATCAACCCACATATACAACACGGTAAGTTCCCCGGGAACATCTGTTCATCCTGTTTGTTCGACCGCCCAAAGTTCAATTTGTTAGATGCAAAAGTTGGACCGAACTATACAGAACCGGTTGATAAGAAAGCAAACCACACACCAGTGGATTTGGGATCTTAAATCGTGCCTCTCGTGTGAATATGGGAGCTGTGTTTACCTGTCTATATGGAATGGATAACCCAGCATCAAAATATCAGCCACTGAGGCAGTCTAGCTCATTATTGTCTGGAACTCATTATCAGTGGCGAACTTTCGCGGTCTGACAGCAGGTTTGCTCATTGGCCAGCATGAAGGTGTTTACACTAATGAAAATATCAAGGATCAGATTTAGAATGCAGGAATTCTAATATTTGAAATATAGAAGTATGACAAACGGAAAGAAGTAGTCATTGTTGGTCCATTAAATGGTGATTCACACAATAAATCATCAAATTTCTTGTGTCTTTCAAATGACGCGATGAATGCGTATTCCACAAGGTGCAGTAGATGGTCAATTATCGTACACAACGCCAGTCTGGCTCCACTTGAGTTATGCTCATTTGACAAAACAAACTTCACTGGTGTACCATGAAACACTCGTTGCGTGTTGCTTTATTGTTGCTAATCTGATCTTCCCTAATGGTCTCTGAATTTTTGCAACAATCCACGATCAGTGATCTGGAAACGGCGCTTGCCTGGCGGTGCTGTATACTCCAGGCTCCATCGAACTGGCCAAAGTTAACTCCTGGAGAAGTTCATTAGCCTTGTGGCTAGGTTACTGTTACAATAAGTAACCGTTTTGGGATAACGGTGATTGTCTGGCCTCTTTTTAAGTAATTGACTATGCTCTTCATGTTATCCCCGTTTTCGGTTATTGAGAGGAGTTTTGTGTGCTAGCCTGGTGTCTATTGGAGAAAAATCTTAAATTGGCATGAGTAAAGACCACCACAATCGTTTTTTTTCTGATGGCTTTCATTTGTGAAAGAATGACTGAAAAAGAATCCTCTATTAACCAGGTGCAACATATCCAGTTTGTTTACGGGACCGGAATGGAGTGAAAACAGAAAACATGGCGAAAAAGGAAAGGGTTTCTCTTCGTGCTATAGATAATTTCAAATGCGCTCGCATTTTTGAACAAATTAGACGAATTGATAATGAATCGTCATTTATATGCTTAGTAAAATCAATCTACGAATCTCAATGTCTTGTTATCTATAACGATTATAATACAGCAAGCAAGTTGTATTTTCAACCATGTGATATGATTCAGACGCCACTTCAGAACAAACACCCTTCTTGCATCTATTTCCCATCTACATTCCCGATTATCTCCCATTGCCAGTGTGTTTTTTGTGTTTCCGTAACTCATTTGCTTGGTCTGATAATGCGATCGGTGAATGTTTATTCGTTTTCCTAGTTTGAATGAAAGATCGAACAACGTGATACCTCCACACGGTCACGAGTTCCATGTTGACTTTATCTCACATCCTACTTGTCTGGTGCCCTTCGGACTACCCGTACGCATTCGCACATTTCAAATATAAACCTAACCAAGAAGTGGAAAATCTAGAAGAATAAATAATATGAACAGAATTAGCCAGTTCGAAGCGGTGTACCACTTGATTTACAGTACTAGAGAAACCAGTGGATAAAACATCCCTTTTCACTAGTTTTATTGTCTGACTGCATTGCTCTCGCTAAAGTCCGTGTGTCCTCCCGATAGATGATCGCTCTATTCGGCCGTTCGGGTTCCAGCCGTGACTCCGAAATGTCCATTGAATGATCCATCTTGCATTGTTGAAGCCCAAATTATCCCTGGTAATCGACTGATGTACTGTGTACATGCACATAGCTTGTTAGACGCGCTCAGCCGTGCATATACCCCTGGTTCCGACCGGGACTTGAACACGGGCTACATCACAATTTTCAATCATATAAGTCTGCAGTTCAGTGTCTGGGCTGGCTTTGAACGTTGCTTCGCATCCGTATCATGCGATACGGCGCGTTCATCTGTTACTAGCTCTGGGAAACAATAATAATAATGATAATTAATTATCCACAAAGCAATTCACTTTCATGAGAAACTTTTTCAGCAGAGGTCTATAAATGGAATAAATGCAATCCAAATGACCAACAGAGCTCGACACAGTGCTGTTATTTGTGCCGTCTTCGTCCAGATCATCTTCACGAAGGGATAATGAATGACAGAAACCATGATAACATGTACAACTCAGATTACTAACCAATGAGAAACGCTGGATAAGCCTATCGACTTTCCCCAAACATTGAAAGTGGAAAGCCGTCGCCGAATATTTGTTCTCTTCGGTAAACATATATTCTCATGTGCGGGTTACAACGATAATGACAGTCGAAATCACTCACCCTAGCGTTATTCACAACCGTAAGCCTGAGTCAGCCGACTTATAGGAGTTCATTGGTCATACATGCTTTTTCGCCCTGTCACGGAACAGACCTAAGGTCGTTCCTTTCGCCACGAATCTGACGGAAGAAGCAAAACAGATTGGGGAATTCAATGGGAGAATAGCAGCCATTCGGAGTGCAATTCAACCCACTACCTTTTTACTTCATTTAATTATTCAGCGGCAAATTGCAGCATTTCTGGAAGAGGCCACAGCCAGTGGAAGACTGTCAAATAGGGAAGTGGCCAGCGGTGGTGGTTATCTAATCTGAGCCGGTAATGTCTAAATTCCATGATGATTACGGTTTGACCAACGCAAGTCACGTACTTGTCTGATCTCTATCAAATCTTTCCTATAAACAACAAACTTGGGGAATTTTTTCATAATGTACCATCTAATTCATCCTCAAACACCTACTTAACTGTTTAAACAAAGATATCCTCTGGATTTTTTTATTCTGATTTACCCAGTCCTCAGAGGTGATTTGGACATGTTTCTGTATCTTAAACTGACTAGACTATTACCAAAACAGAAGCAGTCATTACGGGACATATTCGATTTATTGGGTTTCTTTCTGCTGACGGCCATATGCGCACGCAGATAAGCAAACGCAATAATGTTCACTTTCTATAATTCACTCATCAGAATCGTATATAATATTGAAAAGTCGTTGTTTCCATCGTATTGATCAGCTTTAGCCATATTGACCTAATCCGGTGGTTACTCAAATGTGATACAAACTCACTTGGTGGATACGGGTCGATCAAGTGAAATTGAGATTGTTGCATCTAATCTGATACTTCAACGCCTTACTCATATCCCGTTAATCACTCATACCCACAGCTACCGTAAAACGGTGGTGTGAACGTTGTTAGGCGTGTCACCCATTTATTTATGTGGAACTGCTACGTCCCGCCTCAGATAATGAGGAGTGACAAACTAATGTTGCCTTTCGTAGGACGGGTTACTAATTCTCTACTCCTCACCAGCTAAGAGCTGGTTCATTTTTCCGATTCTGCACTTTATGTATATATATATATATATATATATATATATATATATATATATATATATATATATATATATATCACACGGCATCACCTATCATATCTTGTTTGCTCTGGAATGAAATTGATACGTCTGGTGTATTACGAACGTAGACCACAGAAAGGTGTTAGTTCAGTAGTAGCTATTCTACATGTGAAGCTCCTACTGTCGCAAAACGGAAGTCTGATGTTTGAACTGACATCCACGTATGCGAAGAAAGTCGAATGAGATGTAATTGGAACAGAAGGCAAGGCTTCGACAAACGCTTTGCAGCCATGCGTGTCAATTCTGATAAATCTGCTTTCGCCAGTTTCCCATCCGTGTGCATATTTTTAGAACCTCTGACAAGTATGTTGTATACTTCCGGCACTAAACACTGCATAGCCGATCCAATCGCCAAACTGTCCCCTGGAAACACGGCTAAGAATGAACCGGCTATGATCTGTGCTCAGACGCATACGGTTTTCAAAACTGAATGAACAGACAAGTTTCTAGTTCATGCTAGTAGTGGAAACTTCATATTTCGTTCAGAAAGCGATGGAACATGCATGAATTCGAACTGAAGACTAAAAAGGTGATAATCTAATAACCATCACTTCAGTAGAGTTATGCCAATTTCAGTTATACATGGCTTCGTTACGGCACCAAGTTTCCTTTATTAGGGATCCCTAAAGCAGTCAGTTTACTTCTCCTGTACTGTTCAGATGACTGCTTTTTGACCAATGTAAAATACAGTTTGTGTGAAAACCGTTATTTTCAGGATACCACACAAATCTAGTGGAAGCATCGTATCAACAGTGCTGAGGTTAGTCTCAGAATATTGCGTTTTGGAGATAAATCACAATGTCAGACAAGGAACCTCACCACTCTGTGATAAATGAGATGAATTGCAGGTGCACCCGTATCGACTTCCTAGGTGTGTTGTTCCCAGAGGCTGGGAGTAGGTGGAAAACGATTACGAAGAAGAAAGGTTTAAGAACGTTGACTGCTAAAATTGGCTATGCACGGCATACTAAGCTTCATGGATTAAATCCACTAGATTCGCTTACGCAAAGGTCACGTTTGTTGAAAGAATCGACGGTTTACCGCGATCAGTCAGGTTTCTGTGTTCACACCGTTCTTTGATGTTCTCACTTGTATTTATCTTTCAATCAAATTTATACTTCATACCTTTTGGTATCTCAGTAAGGTTTCTGATGAAGAGTTGCAACTATGACTATCGAATACAAAGCGAGGTTGTTAGATTTTCAGACTGGAACTGATAGATAACATGTTGAACGTTCACTGAGAGCACCCCAGTTTGGAATTCTCAACAGAACTTTATTGCTGAGGGGTTTTATTGAAGATGAGAAAGGGCAGTTTGTTGTTTCTAAGGCATTTGATGATGGATGATGCAATGATATTAGCCCTTATGAATTTCGCAGTTGGATTACTTTGACAAAGATGGATAGTAATCGTTCAACGGGTTCTACTACATTTACAAGCGAACATACATCTTCAGGTTTAGTACTGAGCCTAACAATGGCTCGCCGGATATATATATATATATATATATATATATATATATATATATGTTTATATATATATATATATATATATATATATATATATATATATATATATATATATATATCATGCTTCACCCCAAATTTCACGTTGACGACACTTAAAAGTGTGGGTGTTCTTTTATGTATTATAACTCTTTCTGATGGCCTAATAATCCCCCCATATTTCCGAGCATTTTCTTCTTTCTCTCACACTATTTGTCCTGAATCAGTTCACGTAATCGGCTGCCTGATTATCCGAGCTGGTATAGTTAATCTGACCGAGTGCACTGGTCCCGGTTACGATCTTCGCAACAAGTCGATACGTAGTCATCAATAACTCTGAGGTGACCTAAATCACTTTTCGGGATATGAAACATGCAACTAGATCGTGCAATGACACTGTACCACGTGGTTCACCACATCTGATTCCGTTGTTCATATTTCTGACTGCCATTACTACTTTGACACTGGTTTCGATTGATAAGTCTAAAAGGCAAATGTCAGAACAAATGAACACGTTAACCATTAACAATCATCACTGGGATTCTTCAAAAGAATACTTAGGAGCAGTGAAAAATACATGAATAAAGACACTCTGGATGTTACTTATTGTGCGCCAGAGTTCTGCTGTACACTGTGGCGGTTATATCGGTTCTCATATACGCCTCAGAAACGTCACCGTGGATGATAGAAGACTGTCGATGTTTATGCATCGAATTATCCGCAGTATTGTTCGATTATGATGGAAAGATCGTACCAGCAATTCTGAAGTTAGGCGAGGTTTGTTAGGAGTAATAGGTCAGTCGCTGGAACAGGTACTGAGCCTAAACAAGTTAATATGGCTAGGACGTGTTACAAATGTCAGCATGCAAGATATACGATCAAGGCAATCAAGCCGCATTCTTGGAGCCCAAGTGGACTTTTCGATAATTTGCCTACTGAGAAGCATAAAAGGGACAGGGCTCGACAATTTTTTTCACGACTTAAAACGTTTATTGTACACCGATAGACTTCCTCCGTGTAATTTATCTCTCGAGGCAAGTAGTGGTTAGAAGGCAGGTCGAGATAACCAGTCCATGGTATGGGAAAACGGTATGAAATCCTCAACCAATGGATTTGAACACGCCCGACATGTCAGACTTAATTGTTGGGGTCCACTAGACTCACCTACCAGATGGTTGAAGACATTAAATGACATGGCTAGATGTCGCGACCAGTAACGTAGCTGCATTCGCGCTCTTTTTCATTCTGCCCTCGACTCGATGGTGCTGAGGTCTAAATCTGGTTCATACTTTTCGCCTCAATATTTTTTCTTGTAAGCTGGTGCATTGGGGTCTTAGATACTGTCAAGATTATGTGCAGGACGAATATGACCAATAATCTTATAGTTGGTAATCAACTGGTATAAACCTTGATCACCTCGAAGGTACATTTCAAACTCCGTCACCGTCGCCGGCCATGTTGGTGGTAAGCAGTACTCTTCGGTGTCGCCCAGTTCGTTACAACATGGCTATTAGGTTCCTCGCGTGGTTCTTCGATCTAAGTCTTTGGGTCAGATTCACAGTCATCCCCGATGGTGCAGTGAACCTTCGAAGCTGTGGGGTATCCCCTGCCGTTACAATTTTGCTCAAGGATAAAGTAAAAAACACTTGACAAGCCGCTTCTTTTTTATCAGTACACTATGTGCTTTCTCCCATCCTCTATCCCTAGTGCCACCGTAGGCACAATAAAATAACACCTCAAGGACGAAATATGATGGCAACTGTAAACTTACAGTCAACTTAACCCATTCCCTTGAATAATGAATTATCATATTTATCTACATAGGCAGCCTCAAAGTTTGAAATCTTTTATACTAATAATAATGTGAGCGCTATGCGGCTTCTCTCTCTCTCTCTCCCGGATGCAAATGTTCTCACCACTTGGCTAATTCCGTTTTCTCACCAGAAGTTTCAATTTATTTTGCGCTCATATGCACAAGCTTTGTTTTTTCAGCGGACCCGGTCGATCATTCCTTGTTTCTGGAGCTCATCAAACCCGGTTGATCATTTTCGTCATCTCGTTGAAGGACTATCAGGCGATCCCGGATGATGCGATCGCACTGAGACAAATTGGTGAGTAGCGAGAAATCCACAGGTGCAAATTTTCATCATTCCAAACCAAGCAGACTGGGCCTTCTAGAATGGCCACATTTGCAAATTGTTGCATTTGATTTTGATTCCACTAACATTGGTCACGCGCTTTTCGGACGCAGTGCACTCGGGTGGGGAGTGTGTGGAATAATACTGGTAGCATTCTAGGCTTCTTATTACAGTTTTCCTGAAAAATGACTCATCATAGAGGAACCAATCAGATTTTGTCGTTGAATTAAGTGGCTTTGATGCAAACGTTTGTTTACAAAGCGAAACTGAAGACCTTTTTGATTTGTAGAACACTATTGGCATGAGGATCCTGGGTCTTATAGATAATAAGAAATCCACCAGCGTTTTTCGCACGAGATTAGTACAGTGGTTCACTTGCATTGTTGACACCCAGTTGGTTGTACCGTGATAGCTCAGCTGGTAGAGCATCAACCCTGTAAGCGGGGGGTTGCCGATTCTCGGCATTGGATGTTTTTGATTTTTTGTTACCGAGGAAATTAAGAACAGGTCTTCGGAAAGTGAACAGTTGGTTTCAGTGCATCCTATACGCATTCTTACAATTAATACGGGTGAGGTGACAGTGGAACGCGTTAGAGATTGGTCCGGGTAAAGGTCATTGCCGCAGCTTCGTGAAATAGGAAGAAGAGGTGGTGTGGACAGGAAAGGTCTTTATTGTGTAGTGGTTGTGGTGAAAGTTAAAATCACGCCGTTACCAGTAATAGCCGATGGTGGATTTCCAGGGCCCAGTCGGCGATCCGTGGTTGTTGGTCTTAACCAGGACACCTGAAAGGCATGGACTAGTTACTTCTGTGCAAGTCGTTCAGGGATTAATATGCGAATGACGATTGCCTCTGCCGTGGATAAGGCCCGAAGATGGACTGGTTTTTATCGATTAGGTGGACCCCGGTATGTATATATATACGAGTGAGTAAGCAATGACATCCACACATTCAGTAATGAGCGACACGAGAACGTCAGCAAATGGGTTGAACACATATACGAGTCAAATATATATATAAATGGTGGTATCGACTAAACTGAAATGGCACTAGGTCAGTGGATGAGCAACGTAGTGGGAGTACACAAGCAAACTATGGAAAGTAAGCACCGAAATGGAGACAGGGCGGGTACATGTTCAGTTCATTTGATCAATGAAGTCGCCTGAATCAAGAACAAGGAATAAACTAATGATGTTAACAAGTAAGACTTGATTTCCTGAGTCGTGGTAAAGTGTGCGCAACGGAATCGAACTTGGTTCAGTCTGGGAATGTCAGCACGTAATTTGGAGACGAATACAAGTGTAACTGTCGAAATATCCGGCAATAAATAATTTCTCTTGCGAATTTAGGGGTAATGAACTACTGTTGTGCGCTTCTCTGGCATCTTCTAAAAGAGTGATCATCTAATTTTCTTCATCGTACGTTCATGTGTGAAACCCTGCCACCAAAACCGAACCCCAATAGCTGCGTTCTACGGTTCGGGTGGGCGTCCAGTTCAACGCCGATTAAGCCATGGTTTGAAATGCAATCGAGACTTTCAACAGATCCGGTCACATGGATCAACCGGAAGTGGCTATCAGTGAAGCAACCGGAATGGATTGTGATCGAGCACTATTCTGCTTGTCTGATTCCTGGGCTTTCATTGACTGTAAGCAGAAATAAATTGGATTTTTTTTTAAATTTATAACCTAGATGCGCTTTTCTAAGCCCTTTCATGCCGTATTATATCAACCCGACATTATAAAAGCCCAAAACATATTTCGCCTAGTGAACAAATATTCTCTATGCACTCGGTGGAAATTTATTGGTAAACTGGTTGTGTTTGTAGTTCAAGTCGCTGATTTCCCCAAGCTCTGAATCGTCATGCTTGGTTTTTATTGTTTATTCAGCAAACTTTTCATTATCCATTGAGATGGCATTTGTGAGGAAAACAGTCAGTACGCAATTCCTCACGCTACCAATCCAGCTCGAGCTGCTAGTTCAAGTTGCCCTGTGTTGGGATTCGAAACCTTGAGAGCGCATAAGCGTGGCGTGTGTGCCCGCGTGGAGGTCGTCGCTGAATCCCATCAGCAAGGCCGGTGACTCAATTCGGTACGAAGATGAACCAACACTCAATACTTGCCAAATCTTCCACACTGCACCTCCATAATGGACCTATGGTGATTGAATCACTAATTTCTCATACCGACAAACACCACTATAGTTATGATAATAATATTGATGTTTTTCTATATTTATCCATCAGGAAGCTGTTTTCCCGTATCGTGGTTTGTCGAAAATAAGTCCTACCTTCCGGATTTTTTTGGTGTAAGCCCTATCCCGAGAATAAGACAGTCAAAAATGCGGAAAGTGCTGAAGGATAAGACGTAATATGCAGAGATGACCCATTCTTCTAGACTTCGGAGTAATGAGAACCTAACACTTACCGAACCAAAAAACACATCTTTCAGATTCGGCGACCTTTATGTTCCATGAGTTTACAGCAATTACAGGATATTGACATGATAATCACCCTTATGCTGCTCGGACTGGAATGAATGGAATCACTGCGGGGCGAGCGCGAATATTCGTATTCAGCAATAGGAACACCCTGAGCTATATTGCTAAACAGGAGAGACTGGGATCAATGACTCTAAAGGAAATGAATTTTAAAGTAAAACAGTTAGAAGTTCAGGGTTCGGGAATTTATGATGACGACCAAGATTGGGGCCGAAACGATTTTTATTGACTTAATATTAATAGAACATAATTACACTCTTGATTTCTAAAATCACGGTTTTCTATTGACGACTATTTTCTCTTACACGAGAACGCGAGACTTTGTTTTTCTCTTTGAACTTCTTCCCGAAAAAACATAAGACATTCTCCGAAAAAAGCCCTAGTGAGTTTTTTTGGACACAAAATTAATGTAAGATCGGGTTATGCTTTTGGAGAAACACGGTATTTTCCTAAGGGAGTGTAGCTAGTTAGAGGCCGCCGAAAAAGAAAGCTCGTCGGTGTCAGTGGCAGTACCAAGATTCAAAACGAAGTAGTTCAAGATCTGTAATTTCCGGTGATAACCATCGTGACCATCTCCAGTTAGGTATCATCACGAATCGTGACCACAACACAGGTCCGTATTTCAGAACGAGCAAGGGCTGTGCTGTAGAGGTGGATTGAATGAATGCCTTCGTTCATTAGCACCTCGTTGGAGTAATGTCATAATATTTTATTTGTGAATCTAAGCTGAGCAGACAGTCGCAGCGAGTGGGACAGTATGATCTATCTAGATCAATTGGATAGTCTTCTATTAGTGATCTGCATGCTTTTTTGCTACTTGGCGTACTTCATGAACCTCGTTTGTCATTATTTTCGGTTTATTTTTACTTTTTTCATCTACAACCGCTGCGACAAGATTTTTTCGTATTGATCAGAAAAAAGAATCGTCCCATTTCATCATCGATATTTGCAATATGGATGAATTATTTCTGATCGATTCTGGTATCCCACCGAGGCTTATTTTTGACGGCTCCATAACTGAGGGCGATCCTGTCCCCAATGGGAAGCAATCGTAAGACTCATCACCGGATTGTCAATCCAGTTTTGTGGATAGCAAGCAAGAGGACCGCTCGGGTGTTGGCGCCAAGCACTCAGTCACGGATAATTCACCAAGTAAACCCACAAGGCCTTCTGAGCTACGGGAAAAAGAAGCAGGTCTAATTCAACGTAGCCACGAGTCAGACTTTATACGTTATTCTACAAAACTGTTCGGTATCAGTAACCTTTGAATGATGCATACGAATATCAGATGACCTTGCTCTTGTGTTCTTTCCAATCAGCTTCCTGCAGAGATCGAAAGAATTACGTCCGAACGAGAAGACCGGCGAGAACCCAAGCCTCTGCTGAGTTGTTCTTCCACTCTAGATACCAAACAGTGGTACGTGAAAGCACTTTATCATCATCACCGCATTCCTCGCATCGTATTCTCTACTTTGTAATTCTACTTCAGTTTAGCTGAATAAAATGTACCTTAGCAAATTTAAGAAGTGCGATTTATGCTGCTGTTCAATGCTTGAACATGCAAAGTTAATGCTTCGCTTGTTTCCAAAGGTTCATGATAATGTTGCGAGTCTTTTAACCCATCTGTTAGAAATCATCATCAGCTGTACTTGTAAAAAGCTGCTCTCATAGGAATTCAAGCTAAACGTGCGTCGATTTTAAATTCTGACATGCGTACCACTGAGTCATTTGGTTGGTCTTCAACCGTTCTATTTATATAAACAGCACATCATGCGATATCCCATTGGTCAGTATGTTTGCCCGTTGTCTAACTTCTATCATTCCAGTCTAAAATTATTGTAAACAACCAGACATTTTTCATGGACCTTGACAAGTGAATCTCCAGTTGTCCACAGTTAATTCCACTGAAGCTTATAAATCAGTGTGTCCATGGACGCAAGTGCGCCACTTTTCATTTATCACACTGGCTCAACCATATAAAGTATGGACTGGAAAATGATAAATATTATTTTGCCCCATTTCTGACTGTTGAACAGACTTCATTTTCTATTGAACAAATGCCGACCTGCTGATAGAAAGTCCGTCGATTCTGCAATCAGTGAGACAAGACATTCGCCAAGCGTTTGATTCGTTATATCAGTCAGACGAATTTAGCTGGCAAATTCAGTTCGAACACATACAAAGAAATCAGTTTTCACTGTTGGTTTTCTCAAAACATTTTCAAGAACGTGCTTGGCAGCTGCCTAAACTGTGCTGACCTGTTTGAAACTGAAAAGATTTCGCAAATGTGTGATTTTGACACACTGAGAATTACAGGATTACCCATTCGTTTCCAGCTTACGCCTTCAAACACGTACACGGGTTTTGTCTGAATGTGTGCACCAGTTATACTTTCTCGTTCTGGACCAGCGGTTAAACATGGAATAGATACCTAAATCGACCTTCCTCAAATTTTCCTCTCCTAATTATTGTTATTGCCGGCGGAAAACACTACTAAATAGCGGAATACCGAGGGACGTGGGTCTGGTTTCAAATAAAGCCAAAGGGAAAAGGTTCTCATACTTCTGTTTTATGAATAAGCATTCCTGATCCATCGGTTCATTGCACAGACAGACTAATATCAATATTAAGTCACATGGTACCTGTGGTAATTCAGTCATTCAGTCAGTGACCTCGCACTCCCGTTCTCTGGTTTTGGTTGCTACCTCGCACCGCGGTCAAGTCGAGGGCAAAATGAATAGGAGCACAAAGTAAAAAAAGAGCCAAAAATAAAATAGGCGGAAAGCACGAGGACAGAAAAGAGCCCGAACGCAAATACGCTTTTGACTTCGACATTTAGCCATGTCACCTAATGTCCTCAGCTATCTGGTGGTGGTCTCGTGGACCCCAATCCGCAATTCTGACATGTCCTACTTGTTCAAGTCCACTGGTTAGGATTTTCAAACCTTTTCCATATCATGGACTGGCCACATCGACCTACCTTCCAACCACTAAATATCTCGAAAAGTATATTACTCAGCGGTAATCTATCGGTGGGCCAGTACTAGTCACACACCCACCGATCCGCTTCGGTGCAGCAGAATTCACTTGCCGAACCGATAAGAAACAAGGTGGTCTGACGTGAACTGTACGCTAATGATTCAGTTGTTTTACCGGTGACCTGGTTTCTTTGAGACCTCTTAGCAATCTATGCCGTTAGTAACTCGGGACCATTTGCCTTTGATTCTTTCCCAACAGTGCGAATGTCACCTCGACAATGGACCTAGAAAATGAACAACTAACGCATACGATCCCACTTCAACAGAACAACAATCAGTCTGATCAAGACAAAGCCTGGCATTCAGAAAATGTCCGGCCCAGATTAGCCACATTTCGATCAATTTCAGTCGTATGTGATCCCCGAGAACAAAATGAAACCTTGAAAAGCTCTTCGGGTGTCACTGGTGAGACTACAAAGACCCACAGGAAAACCCGATCATTTGATCAAACTTCAGAGAGCTCGATGGAACGAGTGACCGACTGGCTACATGTGCACAGCTCGTGCGATGACAGTATTTGCAGTTCGATAAGTGAGCGCACGTATGAGACTGAGTTGCTTCCATCCGATAGTGAACGAGGGCCAGCACTTTCTACGAACACGGAACGTCGAGACCGAGCAAAATATTTGGAAACGGTGGATTCGTTGCAAATACGCTTGGATCGAGGTAAGTCGTGATTCAATTTCATTCATTTTGGAAAGCACCGATAGCTTAGTTCGCAATGTAAACACTTATCTGGAAGCCTTGACGGTATTTTACCTGGTAATCTTGATTCCGCTGCCACGTGCTAAAACAATGTTTAATAGACACGTATTTATTTTGTTTCGACGCGGATTTGATTTTCTTTGGAACACACTGCTTTGATGCGGGATGCAACTGGGACCCTCGATGTAAGTTCACCTCAGGAAAGAACCGTGTCTGAAGGCTGGTCTTGTATGACTTTCCTACGTTCATGTGCTTAAATTTTAGTAGAAAATATTTATCAAAATCTAAAACATTTCACGAAACTGGATTGCCTACAGTAATTGAAATATATACATCAAAATTGTAGTATAATTCAGTCGCCACTCTTTTGCTGTCTGTTGGTTAAGTTGCGAGTGAAGTACGGAGCAGGGGAATACTGATTATTATTTACGCAACAGAGGAAAATAGAAAACGAGGGTGCCCTTTGGAAATCGGCGTACTGTCGTAAAGCATTTCTGAGCTAACTTTATGCATCACTTTCTAATTCTAAAGATCATTTGTTTTATGGGGATTAAAGGGGGGAGACGACTAATTATCATCAGATTACATCGCGGAATTTTGTAATCTTGTTTCAAACGGCGAGGGCACATTACAGGAGGACAACGAAGTAAGACAGTAAGGCTGACAGATATGGGTAGATAGGATTGTTTCTTGGGTCTAGAATTATCTAAGCTTACTAATGGGAAACGACAAAAAACGCAGCTTTCCCACACGAAAATAATATATGAAGACCGTCAGAGGTTGTTTACAGGGATTCCTAGACAGTTCCCCGAGTTCACTCTAGAGAGGGGCTACGTTTTGCCTACGCTTTATCCTTAGGATTCTCACTGCTGATAAATCCCGAGTAAGAATAGTGTGTGGTAACAGTAGATCAGTGGCACATGAGGAGCAATACGGTATTCTGGCTTAATGACACACCATCATCAATATCATCGTCCGGCGTTAAACAGCGTGGCAGAACCCAATGACCATTGCCTTTCTCACCATATTGCACGTAAAATGAAAACAATTTGAATACAAAAGATGGACGTTGAGTGGGCCTACACAGGAGGTAAATGTAAAGAATGCCCTAGTAGCTTAAACACGGAATACACAATCCAACTGTACCGACGCACATTGATCAGACATTTTGACCCGACAAAAAGTGACAACACGATCGCCACTATTCACGGTTCGCTGTCATATCTTCCAGTCTCTCAAACCAACTGGTTGAGGGGTGTTTTGGACCCCAACCACGAAGACGTGGGGCGCTTACATTTCCCAAGCTCGCTGTACATTTTCTCATTCCCCGCTGTCACGTCATCTGTTGACTTCCATGTGGTTTCTTCCACTCCTTAGGAGGAATGGAGAACAGGGCACGGTGCGGTAGACGTAACCAACGTAGTGTACTAACGTGGATACGCTGTGACAGAGCGTTTTCTGAATTAGTACCCAATACTCGCTTTCTGACCTCAGCATTGCTCACTCGATCGGTCATTCCATCCAATCTTAGCGATACTACGCAAAAATCCGTGGTCGAAAACCTCAAGACGACGAATGTCTTCGGCACGCAGACCCCAAGTCTCGCAACCATACAACAAAACTGAACGCACTGCGGCACAGTATACACGACCTTTCAACTTCAGTTAAGTATCAGGTCAGCGCCAGGTCCAGCGTACGCCGCTCGGGTCCCTACTACTGTGTTCCCATCTGTCGTCACGCTGCTGCCGAGGTAATTGAAGCGGTCGACAATTGCCAGCACCTCCCTATCGAGCATCAAGCTCGAAATCGCTGACGTTCAGTCTTGCAACATCACTTTACACTTTGAAGGTGCAAAGCGCATGCCAAATGGAGCGACAGCTCTCCCTAGTCTATCTAGTGCCAGGTGAACTGCTCCTTGAAGTATTCGGCCCAGTTGTCAAGCCTTTAGTGTTTGCCGTGAATGGGTTCCATTTCTATCGCGTATCGTTTTACTGATCAGGGTTCGACGTTCACCGGTGTCGCAAATAAGTTTGAACTGTCTTTGACTGTTACCTGAAGCAGCTGCTATTTTTATTTCTTCGGGTACCTTGACCCACCAATTTTCGCGATCTTTCTTAAGGCTTTTCGTAATTTGCCTCTGTAGCTTTCTACGTGTCTTATTCGTCTCCTTACAGTTTGAGAGCTGACCTTTTTGTTCCACTAAACTCAGCGACTCTTGCGAGATCCAGTGTCTTTGACGGACATCGAATCTAGGACAACAGGCGAAACCTGCTGCCACGTGCATCGCTTGTTTGATATGAGCCCAATGCTCATCTATAATACTGTTCGTCAGTTCCTAGCTCATGTGCTAATTTCTGCTCGTAACTGGTGCAAACTTCTGGACCACACAAACGTTGAACGGCTTACCGGGTTTGCAGTTTGCGACGATTACCATGGAAATGGAGCGATGATCGCATAAAAACGAATGCACGGTCAGACTGTACGTACGGGGACCAGTAAGATATACAGTTCTAAACAGAACTACGCCCTTAGTAGCTTACTGCAATATGATCGATCTGGCTCAGAATACCTGTAGATGTAGAGTGCCATGTTGCTGTGCGACGCGAGCTGTGTCGGATATTCGTACTAGACAACAATAACCGATTATCTGCACAAAATTGAAGCCTATCTTCGTTATCTGTGCGCTGAGCGCGTAAGGTACAGTGCCCACCCAAACAATCTTCTGACACTAAATTTGCCAACTTGTGCAATAAAACCACATGCTAGCACTACAATGTCAGAACCATTACTGCTGCGAACGAGGGTGGCGAGTTCATCGTAGAACTCACCCTAATGCGTGTCAGAGCTTTAGTCTGTTGTGGCGCACTCCGAGGTCACACAGAATTGCGCTTAACACGACTATCCTTTCAAACGTCGACTGACCCCTGGAGTTTTACAGCACACAGACGACTGTTAACCGATATCCAGTCTAAAAGGGCAGCTTCAGCTTTGTCAGTCAAGACTATTCCTACACCACGTCGACCCGTAGCTCCAGCTACTTCATCTCCTGGATTGCGCAGAAAATACCTTGGTTAGATAACAGGAGGAGTTAGCTGAATCACACTGCTCGAATCCTGGATACGCGTTCCATTTTTCAGCAGACATCAATTGTCAGAAAGGTCATTGTGAGGGCTAGGCACCCTGCTGACCAACCTGCATGAGTGTACGCAAGTTAAAGGAGCCGAGGTTCAAAGGATGACGAGGCTCGAGCAAATGTGAGTTACAAGATAGAGGATTATTCACACTATTCGACAACGAAGCGTTGCGAGTATCGAGTGTTATCAGCTGGAGCATTACGGGTGGATAGAGGGGGCAAAGAGAGGTGGTTGGGCACAGAAGACAAAGGTTGAATAAAAGAGAGGGAACTCTGAGCAGTAGCCCACTTATCACTACCCATCCCGCTCGATGCAATGGGCAGCGCGGTCATGCTTATCCTGCACGACGACCGATGCGGTGTGGGATTGTTTGTGGTTGTGCAGTTCATGGAATATGTTAGACGGGTACTGCTATGGTGTCCAGCCACAAAGTAGGAGAACGATTAGGCTTGTCATCCAAAGCCTTTAGTTTTAACAAGAACCTATCCGCAAGCGGGGTGGCTAATTGGAAGCCCGTTTCCTTGGATCGATTATTCTTCCACTGATTTTACCGAATGAGTTCCCAGCTCAAATCGATCCATAACCTGGAGGACCAGGAGATTGGACTTTGTCTTACCTCTACCTATTGACCTGTCTGATATGATTGCACCTGTGGCTTAAAGAAGTCATCCTGTATAGCTCGTTGGGTCATAGAAGCACACAAGTCATCGCACCACGTCAAGGCGCAATCTCCTCGTGATGGCATTAAATGAAGCTTCATATTTAGCAACTGGCTTTTTGTGTTCGGGTTAAATATTCTCCTCAGTAGAAAGATTACGCCACTGATCTGCTGAAAGCACTTGTAGATGTGGAAGTTGACAAAAAGAGGAGGCGGCCTGCTTTCCTCTGTTCTTTGTTATCAAATCGTAATTGAAAATCTACACAATTATGCATGACCGAACTGTGTATCGAGTGAGAGGGAGAATTCGCCTAGTTATTTTCTACCAAAGCTTATATGTTCTTTACTGTCTTTTACTTGGGAGAGTTAACGAAAATTATAAAGGTACCAACAACTGAAATGATTTGTGTACGGATCTCAAGTAGGAGTGGTGATCAGAAACGAAACCTGTATGTCAAAACCGCTTGAGTGAATAACGGTCTCTGTTTGAGTCACTACTTGTTTCAAGATACTCAACCCGTCCACCACCGCTTCTTCATTCGATCGACCGATTATCCAACGAATCGAATGATCGGCCTTCTTTTCTTCCATTTTCGGCTAAATATGATTCTAACGCTTTGGAACAGCGTTACCAGAAATGTGTTTGTCTATGGTTAGCGGTTTCATTTATATTATTTGCCTTCCTCATTTTCTGTCAGCCAGAGTTCTGTGTTACTCTGCACTTTCAGTCACACTCCCCATAACAGCATTGATAGTTTTGGTTTTGAAAAATAATAATAAGGCTGATAAGGAGAAACAGACGAGCTACGCGGAGAATATCAATTTGAGAGATGATAAGATCTCAAACACGTAAGACAAATCGTATATATATATATATGTATATATATATATATATATATATATATATATATATATATGTATATATATATATATATGTACCGGCTTGAGGACAAGGATGAAAGAAACGCAACTACACCGGAATAGGATTGCACAGTGAGGAAAAAAAATTGAGGTTAACAAAGATTAGAACAAGTAAGGACAGTTTTACGTTTTCGCCATACGCGTTTTGTAAATTTCTTTGTTTTTCAGTTGTTCATGGAGAACGCGCGGTCAACAGCATTCGCGTGACTAGATTCAGTTCTGGGCCATACCTCTCAGCATCTCTGTCTAACAGCAGTCCTCATCTGTGGGCCCCAAACAGGAAGGCGGGGAGCACCAACCGAAGTCAAAGCCAAAACTAACTCCTTCATGCCCCTACTCCACGTCATAGCTTGGCCACCGCGCCGCTTCTTACAACCTCGTTCAGTATGCGCAAAAGGAGCACGGAAGGGTAAACTGTAGGCAGGCTTACGCGAAACATGCTCGAGCTATCGGAGGCTGTGTGTAGAGCAATTATCTCGGTCAGAGGGCGACTACCAGCATCGAACACACTGCGACGTACCTCGTCATTGTTCAACGGGTGCTCCCATCATTTACGAGCAATGCTTAGGATACATCGGTGGTCGAATACAGAAAGTCGCCGAGCATCCTCAACGCGAAAAGGCCAGGTCTCGCAACCGTAAAGAAGAATACCATGAACTGTAGCAGTGTGCACCCTTCCCTTGAGAGAGATCTGGATGTTATGGTGACGACACAAGGGGCGCAGGCTTGTGAGTTCCTCTCTGGCTTTCACAGTTCGTGATGTTATATCCCCAACACCACTGCTAGCTGTAATCAAGCCCCCAAGGTACGGGGAGCTATTGACTACTTCCAAGTGATCACCACAAAGGGTGAGTGCATGAACAAGCTCCTACAGTCTTGACGAAGTACCTTGCATTTTGAGGGCGCAAATTACATAACATATCAGGATACGTCAATCGCCAAGTGATCCAAAACGTGTTGAATTTCCCGTGCACTGTCGCTCAGCAAGGCAATGCCATCGGCATACTCTAAGGTAATATCTCTATTCCCTGGGAACAATTCAACCCCACCGTTTGGAAGACCAGACAAAGCGTTCTGTAGGCGACCTTGCAGTACTCTACTGAAGACGGCCTCAACCCAACCTGAGGTATGACGGTACAACTCTTTGGGAACCGATACGTGCCCTGGATACACCACTCCTCAACAGACAGTGTCACAGCGCAGATCTACTGACGGAGTCGAAGGCCGTGCGAATGTCCATAAACAATGGTCGTTGGCTTATAGAAAGCGTAACGGTGCCCTCATAGCTGTCGGAGGGTGAACATTTTATCAATGCATCTACGACCGTTACGAAACCAAGCCTGTTCCTCGCGAGTTTTCTCATCACACGTGTTGTACAGTCTACGAAGAATGAAAGACTACAGTAGCTCAGACACTATTGGGATTAGGCTTATACCCCTATGGTTGGCGCACTTACTGCGCGAGCCTTTCTTGAGTATGGGGACAATGATCGATTCCCCTCGAAAGGTAAGGACTTTCTCAGAGACTGTGGATAGGCGAACCGTCAGCTTCGAAGATTGTCTCGCTCACATGCAGTGTCTTCCTATCGGGGACTCGGATGAAGTGAAACAGTTTGCGGGGATTTCTCATAGCGGCAGCGTGTTCCATCTCTGATGCTTGTTGAGACCGACAGGTTTCGCGATTCCTACGCAGACTTGCGTTGAGTTCACGTCTCGTTGTGAGAAATGCTTCATTATGCATGCTTCCAGCCGGGATAGGTTGGCGTGGATCAAGGCGTTGTGACTCATCAGAAATCCATCATGACACGAGTCAGGCCACAAGTTCCTGTGCCAACAGAAGGACACAGGCCTGTTGTCCGAATGGAATATGGGTTGTATAAAATTATGTATTTTTCTGTCAATTATAACAGGGATGTGGCAGATTTCCTGTGCTTTACACTTCCTGTTCGATCTGCGCTAAAGCATGGTTCATTTCTGGTTGAAATGCAATGTTCTTCACTCATATCATATTAGAAGTACGAACTCAGTGCGCATTTATATTTCCCTCTGGACAGCACTCTTGAATGCCTCTCGTAAAGGTAACGTGCAACAGATCGACGCTTTGCTGGAGGCCGGAGCAAATATTTTGGCAGTGGATGAGCGCGGTCGGTCTAGTTTACACTTGACCACGAAGTTCGGGTGTGACAGAGCAGTACGAACGCTGCTGAAATACGGTAAGTTTACAAGTCACGTGTTTAGTATATGGGACGTTTTTGTGTGATGTTGTCTTCAAGTCCACAGAATAGCTTGAACTACGAATTTTTCTCGGTTTATCTTTGTCTACGTAAATTAATCGGAATAGCCTGCCTGTTAGAACGAGTTACTTTGGCGATAATGCCCCAGATAGACTAACAACTTTAACGATCCTTAAGAGCTACGGTCTAAAATATTGCAATATATCTCCCCTTGAACCTGATATGTAAATGTGTCAGATTATTTCAACTGCCAGAATGATGTCTTTGAACAAATACACACCCGTTATCGTCGTAGAGGTGTTGAGTTCATTACGTTCATTACGCCACGAAAGCCCCACGTTATGATCTACAAAACACAAGGGGTTGTTTCGCTGAACCGGGTTACCACCAGCATGGAGCACTGGGATAAAATCGGGGCTCCTAATCTATACTCTAGCGAACTTGCATCCTTTTTTCTCGATTATCAGTTTTTGCCCACTTCCAAGGTCGTTCTCAATCATCTGCTTTTAGCAGCACACCTGGATATTCCCTGAACTTCATTCCATTCGCTATCCCGCTCAGGGCGCAGCGCACACAACCATAGTGCTTTGTATTCTCTTACATTCACCACCTATTTTATGTTGTACTAAACATTTATTTTATGAATGGGACTTTCGGATGCACATTACCGGATACTTAACCGGGATGAAATCTGGTCGGTAGGCGTTGGGAGATAATGTATCCTTGGAAGTTTCAAAAACAGTCCGAAAAATAATGAGCACAAGCCTATTATACACTATATTACAGTGAGCCTAGAATCAAGCGTAGTGCCAACAAAACAAATACAGAAACGGGTAGCGAGGAGGGGATAGTAAGTAGTAAGCAGACAGTCAAGTCGGGAAAATCTTTCGAGATATTTAAAACAAAGTGGCGAAACTTCCCCGCCCTAAGCTGGATTTGGCCGTAAGCCAACGACTTTTTAATGATTGACAACCAGAAGCCTCTAGTGCATCAAGCTTTCACGCTGTGGCGGAGGCGCATATAATACAAGCACCATCCGCCCGACAACTAAAGAATTTTAACAATGAAAAGCTGTATACCGGAGACAACAAAGCAGATCCCGATTACTAATCGATTGCTATCTGACAAAACGAATCACTGTCGACAATGTTTCGTGTCTTATTTTATAAGCGATAAGCACTAATAATCTCCGTTGAATCATTACGGAGATTGATAGATGTTGACGACTTGTCTCCGTGTTCCACCCATGTTTTGTGTTATTACCCGAATAGCCCTCTTTTGTCGTCCGAGTCGTTACCACACCTGACCTATTGAAACCTTATGTGATTGCCCACTGCAAAACTCAGGGTTTGGTTGCCGGTTATCCCTAACAATGCAGTGGGCCTTTCTGGCTATGGGGTATTAAACCCCTTCAACTACACTCATGCGCAAGCATGTTAAGAATAACCAAAGAATCTAGTCGGTCCTGACGATGTTCGCTCTGGGGAGAGAACCGTACTTTAAATCTTGGATAGTTTTCAGACAGACTCCTCAATGTTATTCTAGTCTGGAAAAAGAATGTATTGGTCAATTAGGAACCTCAAAAGGACCTGGGATATTCTGAAAAGACCACAGTCTCAATCCCAACCGTCGAACTAGCATCTGACACCAAGCATTCTGGCATTCGGTTCTCAACCGTACACAAAATGCACCAGAATAAAAAACGGAAATCAGTGGACATAAATATGACCAGACGCTTTGGGTGTCACCCGTGTGCCGTGCAGATGCATGAAGGCTTGAATAGAGCACTGGAACTACTCGTACAAATAAAAGTTGGATATTATTATCACGTGGATTCGTTGGTAGTGACGTTGGTTTGTTCATTGACCTGGACAAACAGATTGCAAACAGTAACAGCTTAATTAAACCGTATTTCGTTATTCTGTGGAAGCGGAACATTTTCGAGACCTCGCTTGGTCCGGGATAGAGTGAAAAGCCATTCTTGCCACTTCACAATCATTTACCTTTTCACACAAATCACATATGTAGACATAAACCTAATCAGTATAATAGTATACTTATTTGCAGCAACGCCCGAGTTCCTCGAAATACGAGAATACGAAAAGTGAGTTTGCATCACAAACCTTATACATTGAGACTCGCAAATTTGGTGATTTTGTACATGGCTTTCTGTCAAAAATTCTTATTATTACTCACGAGTTAATTTGTGATAAAAAGACGTGTTGTGTTGCGATGACTTATTTCAAAAGCAGAAAAATCACCGCTCCCATTAATGGTTGATCTAATGTATACTGTCTTCCACATTCCACTATATTTTACTGCGTCTAGACCCCTGGTTCTCACGACTTTGCCAAGTATATATAAACACTTCGTCACTGCGGTATACCTTATTCTCGTATAAACGCGAAAAAATCAGTGTTTAAACACGTTTCAAGCACAGTGATCCATACTCCCCTTCATTATCTCTCCAGACGATTCTTTCATATTCTTCCTCGAACACTTGTATCTTTCCAAATTTTTTCACTGCTTGCATTATTCAAACCGGAACGGGGAACAGATTGTCGTCCTTTTCCCCCCTCCTGAACCCGTTCGCCTCTCAGCCCTTGTTGACAACATTCATTCATCTAACCACGCATCAGCTCAGTTCCGAACGCACAACTTAGCTCAGATCCTACCTCAGTGAATCCATGACATCGTCCAGCCCGAAACCAATGAGAGGACACGCTGCTCCCGACCAAACTACTTCTCCCTACTGCAAACTATAGGTGCAGTTGGGATACGCCCGCATTCCTATCAGTCAAAAATGATCGTTTCCCTATTCAGCCGTACCGCATCAACTGCTCAGTCGTCATTTGTAAACTCGTCCATCTGATTCTCAAACCTCACCCACTCAACCTCCCTCCCTCCCTCACCGACCGCTCTAGACACGCACGCGCACAAAAACATCAACACTAACATTCCACCACCTATTTTGACAACAGTTTATGAATAGTATTCTTTCTCATTAGGCATGTTAGTTCAATGGATAGAAAGAAAAATGATTCCACAAAACTGCCTACTCTATAATACGCGATTTGATCCTGCTGGGGGATAGTGTCTTCTCTGCTAGATAAATATGGCATGAATTCGCTGGGATCCGAGTCACCGCTTAGAAGTTAGACTCCAGAGGCGCTGGTGCGCGACCGTTTTAAAATAACTGGGCAACCAAACCTCATGCCCAACTTCCTGGCACGCCAAAGCCTGTCTTGTAATTATTATTAAAGTTGCCCTTGTCATTGCTTTAACGGTCACCTCTGCTAGTGTTAGCATTGCAGCAAATCTGTGGTTCGTACACAGACCACTATACCCCTGTAGCTGGAATTGTTACTCGTAATTAGGCGCGGAGTAAAATCCGCTCCGGGAATAACGGCATTGTTTTGAGAATCCCCAGCCAGCGTTAGTTGAACAAAGCTAGACCATGTATTGCATTCCTGCTCACACTAACAGGAATAAAACAAACTTTCCCGAAATGCTCGTGTCTGCACTCACCACTTGTGGTGATCAGCTGCAGTTAGTTCACAACGTCAAGTGCCTTGGGAGCTTGACAACAGCGGGGGAAGAGATCAATTCACGCATTGCGGGAGCTAGCGCAGCTTTCGCAAACTTGTAACACCTGTGGCGTCTCCGCGACATTCGGCGCTTCCTTAAGGGACAGGTTTATAACGCCGCTGTTCGTAGTACTTTGATCTGCGGATGCAAGAGCTGGTCAATTCGCGTTGAAGATGCTCGGCGTTTTTCTGTATTCGGCAACCGAACATCGAGACGTTATTGTGACTCGGTCCCGTGAATAGACGATCATGAGTTGAACACCTAACAACCAAGCTATCTAGCTCTCAACATCACAAGTACATGACACAGCGTCGTTCCATCACTGGTATTTCGTTGTTAACAGTCCGTTGACCGCACAATAATCGACTCCTGGGATCAACTAATTCGTAGGGAGAGTTTGTGAAAACAAATCCGTTACGTTGCAAACAACTTGAAGCAAGAGCTTCGATAAGTAATCAAAGTGAACAGCTGGAGATTCCATTTGACTTTCAAATGATTCATCAAATGGAAACAAATTACCGTAATCGTCCATCAGAAGATCTCATTTTGTGCAGTTGAATCTTCAACTACCAACTCTATACTATTCCACTAATTTCGTTCGTCATTAGTTTATTACACAGATTTACATAGTTCAAGTCGAGAAATGGAACCTCATTTTGCATTACTTCATTTCATTTCTTTATTATTCAAATACCCTATCCGTATTCCGGATTGGTAGGCATGATGTGTTCTTACCTTTGATATTTTATAAAAATGTATAATTTTCCTATTTGTTTTATGTGGCTATATCGCGCACTAGATCATCATACCAAGGTCTCAATCCCTTCTCTCGCACATCCATTGCAACCTCATCATTCTGTTACATCTGACGCTACATAACTCCTGGCTGATGGTAATTCCTTGATTTTGTAGCGTTTTGTCCTAGCCGCGATTGTGCCCTCTCATTTGATAAAAACATTTCTGATTTGATTTTACTGTAGTTTGCTCTGCAATAAACGGCGAAATTCATACCAAATCTTCTCAACTGCATCAAATCCTACTCACATAACTGCGTAACGAACATGTTCAAGCAAAAGTGACTTTGAAAGTGGATGAAGCTGAGAGTGGATTCCATGTGTATGTGTTCAGAGGTGTTTTCCAAAAGACCAGTCTTCTCCGTTACTAGCAATGCTTTGAAAACTTGAATTTGAATACGCACTTGAGTCTGACGTAGGTGACTCGGGTGCTGATTGCGTGACTCGAGGATACACACACGATGCAGTAGATAAAGTCATCATGAATCTCGATATGATTAGGATGGAATCGTATTTGGATGATAAGACGAACCTTCCCCGTTTCAGTCAAAGAACTGACGTTGGGGGAACCGCCACATGATTCCAAATGTGGACCTTCCAGACTTGCAAACAGCATTGCGTCTGATTTGGAGAACTTTGAATTGACGTTTCAAATGGTTATCCTAACTTCGAAGAATTCCAGAAAGTGGATCAAAATGCACACTGATTTATGAAAAAAAATAAATCAAAGGAAAATAACCCTCGTAAATGTAGATAACTGCGATTATGCAAACATATTTGTCGCTGACGTGAACTGTGTAGCACGAGTTGTTGCTTGAGAATGGCACTGGTAAGTTATGAACAAATCAGTGCACCACATATATTGATTATCCTGGCTGAAAGACTGATTTGCGGCAAGCAATATCATATTTAGTTTTTCTATTTTATTAGCAATTTAAATGTTTATGAATGTAATTAAATTGTGTGGACAATGATCCCTTACATTCTGTCTTTCGGTGTTGAATGCGATGAGCCGCTAAAAAACGGATTTGATCTCCGTTGTCCGTTACGGAAATCACCCTGGGTGTGGCGGAGGATATGCACCACTGATGCGCTCTAACAAGAACAAACGTCAGGTGTGGTGCTTCCGAGTGCAGGTTGGTCGGATGACCTAAGGTTTCCGCGTGAAACGTGGAGCACAAAAAGACAGTCAGTCAAACACAGACTAACAACATTGAACAGGAAATGATCAAAACACAAAACGCGCCACATTACCTGCATTCAAGTAATTTTGCATGAACCGTATGGCACTGATTATCGATGACAGGATAAAATTGTCAAAAATGCACACGGCTGGTTTTTCGGTTGTTACCGCTCATCTAATGAGCGTACCAAGTGCTCCTCCGCCCAACCATTCTACACTCGACCACTAAACTGCTTTCGGTGACAATCCATATCAATCGCATTTCAGTTCTTACTACTGGAACAAAAGTCAGTAGCCAATAAGCATGAGGCTGCCGTGGCTCTGTGGTTAAATTGAAATGGTTTATACTTTCCATCGGGTAGTCATTTATACTATCTCGAACTAATTCTTTCTGGCACCAACGACATCACGATAAATGGTAAAGTCATTTACACATCATTGTGAGGTCTTTGTATTATTTGAATGTGTATGCTTCGTGAAATCATTGCATTGAACATGACAGAGAACTGACGCGTCAAACAAAACTAGCACCTCATTCACAAATTAGCTCTACTATCGCTGATCGCTAAACCAGACACTGTTATTGTCATCCACGTCTATTACCCTCTAATGTTAACTGATAATTTCTGATCTCGTTCTCTACCGTATGTTCAGGTATTTCACCCGGTTATTTTCACTTATTTCTGCGGTAGATCGACACTCACTTTTTCATTTGATTCTCAGCGTATTTTGAAAACAAATTACTCAATTTATTCTTCGCAACATTTTGCATGGTATTAGTGCAGATGTCAGCGTCCTAGCTTCAGGTTGAATGAATATAGTTGCAATAATCTTGTCATGATTCTGTGTTTCTATTCCTCAGCACTGACGCTCAAATGCCTCATGCCGTACACATGTCGCCAACATGTCATGTGGGACGTTTATGTGCGACAGCGACCGAGACAAACCACAGATAGCGTGCTCAGTTTCGTCTTTTATCGAAATGCAACTAAAATGATGTTGGAAACCTGATGGTCAAAAGGACCACGGAGTAGACAGGCCTTGGTCGAAAGCTGGGTGACTGGTTAGGCGTTTCTCTGTTCGTACACGCTCGTGCACAATGGAACGGCAGGAGCGAAATTGCTTACATGATTTTCTTTGACCGAGGCCTCCTATCCTGAACGTAGCACAAGAAACAATTGTCTGGAAGTGATTGGCGCGTATGTGGTTTGGTGGTGGTGCTTTCATCAAATGATTTTGGATATATTTTTGACTTCCAAGTGTTCGACAGCGAGCGACAAACTTCTTACAGCTTGTCGATCGTACATGTTTCATGTGTTCTTTAGAACACGGCCCTGACAAATCCGACTTTGTACTTCATGGAACAGAGCTAGGTAAGTTTAGATACTTCCCTCACCATGTAGTTTTACGTGGACTGATCAGCATTTTTTTTCCACACAACCAGCATTACGCAGACACGGTTCTTTCCACTCCGGACTTGGACTACCTAATATAATCTTGGGCTTTAAAATTCCTCACATTCGATCGAAGTTTATCGCCTAACAACATACGAGTATCTGATAATGACTTTCCGTGAGCTTGGGATCCGAAAGCTTCTTCTTTATGCGTTTCTTTATATTTGTATTGCTTATAAAAAGGCAAAAAAATCAGCAATGGTATCTCTGCGGGAAGTCGTAGAGAACGCATGGTTTTCTGCTATGCAATCAGTTCTAATTCGATGATAACGTTTACAGACGGAAAAAGGACATCACAAGGCCATTTCCACCCGCTTTTTGGCTCGCCGATATATTCATCGAGAAAATCTCGTTGAGTCCAGCCGTCAGGTGTCTGTCTCTGTATGAAAGTTACCTCGATGATTTTTTGTGCCTACTAAAGGGATAAAGTAGTGTACATCCGTTCCTACCGGCATTCAGTGAGATGCATCTATGTCTAAGTTCCCGATTAAACTAGAAGAAAATGAATTCAACACGAAAACTAGCTTTCCATAAAACTTTTAATTTTTCAAATAACATGCATTTTTTTCTATCAATTTCACAGTTTTCCCGCCAGTTGGATATTTTCATAGTAATCCTCAGCTATTGTTTTATCTGCTGCTCACATGACTCCGCTGTTTAATTCATACATGATTTTCGCAAAATCGCCTGTACAGACCATATAAGCTGTAGAATTTACACCTCAGCTTGACTTGGGTTGGTCGTCACCAATGAACGCGTGGTATCCTGTCGTGTCTAACCTACCAATCTAGCTAGCACGTGGGTCTGCATCATCGAAGTTTGTTCCTTGTTTTCGGATGAGAAGCTTCGTGGG